ACAGGCGCCCGCCACAACACCTGGCTATTTTTTGGTTGCAGCCGTCATTGTTGTTTGGTGGGCCCAGGCTGGATTCGAACCTGCCACCTTGGGTATACATGGCTGGTGCCTTAGCCACTTGAGCCACAGGTGCCAAGCCAGAGATGGTTTTTATGAATCAACCTCTGTTGGCTTCAAATTTTCTTCTGCAGCTTCCTTGCTTCTCATAGCTTTCAGAGAATTGAATAGCTAGGGTCTTGCTCTGAATTAGCCTTTGGTTTAAGGGAGTCTTGTGGCTGGTTTCATCTCTGCAGACAGCTAAAACTTTTTATACGTCAGCAAAAAGACTGCTTCACTTTCATGTGTTCACGGGTGTAGCAACTTTAATTTCCTTCATGAACTTTTCTTTGCATTCACAATTTGTCTAGCCCAAGAGGTTTAGATTTCAGCCTATCTTGGCTATCAAAATGCCTTCCTCACTAAGCTTATTCATTTTTAGCTTTTGATTTAGACATGTGACTTTTCCTATCACTTGAACACTTAGAGGCCACTGTAGGGCTACTTACTAATTAATTTCAATATTGTGTTTTAGGGAATAGGGAGGCTCAAGGAGAGGGGGCAACAGCCTATCAATGATGCACTCAAAACAGTCAATATTTATCAATCAAGTCTGCTATCTTATATGAGCATGGTTTGTGATACCCCCCCCTCAAAGATCACTGGTCAAAGATCACCATAACGGATACAATAGTAATGAAAAAATTTGAAACATTACAAAATGTGACATGGAGATACAAAGTGAGTAAATGTGGGAAAAATGGAGCTGAGAGACTTGCTAAATGTAGGCTTGTCAATTTGTTAATAAAAGAAACCACAGTATTTAAGAAGCACAATAGGCTCGGTGCCTGTGGCTCAAGTGGCTAAGGCGCCATCCACATACACCTAAGGTGCCGGGTTCGAATCCACCCCTGGGCCCACCAAACAACAATGATGGCTGCAACCAAAAAATAGCCGGGCATTGTGGTGGGCGCCTATAGTCCCAGCTACTTGGGAAGCAGAGGCAGGAGACTCACTTGAGCCCAGGAGTTGGAGGTTGCTGTGAGCTGTGATGCCACAGCACTCTACCCAGGGGAACAGCTTGAGGCTCTGCCTCAAAAAAAAAAAAAAAAAAAAGAAGAAGCACAATAAAACAAAGTATGCCTGTATGTGCAATTTCAACAAAAGACTTAATAAAGCAATGGTGAAAATATCAGGGCAGAGTCTGTAATGTTACAATAACGTCCTACTAGATCGTACTTTCCTCCTGCTTCATCATTTACTTGCAAATATGAGGTTGTTTCAACAATATTATGGTGAAAGTCTCTGAAGCAAATGTATAGAAAAGGCAGTAAGTTTCCAAAATGAGGAATAACAAACAGAGAAAGAGCATCCCCAGCCTTTGTGCACATACACGGGTGTGAACAGATACACAGGAAGCTTTTTAACTGCACTTGCTTCTGTCCTCCCATATCCCTACCCATTGTGCACCTGTGAGAATCAATGTCACAGTCAGCCAGTGGCTTGGGGACATTTATATACCCCTCAGGTGTGCTGGGGCAGGAAAGATGTTGAGAAAGACTGAAATATAGGAACGAGAAATGTTTAAAGTTTGTCCAAGAACTTAAGAAGACTTAGA